GAGCCAAGATGACTAATGTCAAAAAGAGTTACCTTTCATTCCAAGAATCAGTAATAGAATGGCTGCTTTGAATAGTCTCCCTAACTAACGCATGGCTGGTTAAATAGCCATATTTCTAGGAGGTTCAATTGCTAGCTATTCTACTCCAAGAAATGTTTTTTAACTTGAAATACCAGACCACTTCTTCACTTTCTTGCTAACTGGAATAGGAAAATATAAATGGTCTTACTGTTAACAAACAAGCTGTGTAAGAGATCTTGAAGTCTTTAAAAGCAGTGAGACTCATTTATCTATTAATAATTAAGAATCAAGTTTAAAAAGTATGTTTTAAAGGAGAGCAGATCCCCAATAGCATAGAGAATTTAGTGCCTGCATTTTTAAAACTGTGTTCATCAGCTTTAATATATAAGACAGAGCTTTCAAGCTGAGAACTAATTGATTCTCTTACTCTTGCTTTTCACTGTTCATTAAAAAAATAAGTATGGTACTCCCTCACCCATTTTTATTAACATTATTTAACATTCATTAAGCAATCCATGTATAGGCTGAGCCTTGTTAGGGTTGTAGAATTAGCTTTGTGTTTTACATGATCTTGCAAAGGCACCTTCTAAAACATGATTTGCTACTGTAATCCACACATGATTGTACCCTTTGTTTCACCTTAAGCCAGAGGCAGCTCAAGCTAAATGCCAAGCTTCCCTGAGTTACAAATTTAGACTCTGAGGTGCTTTGCACACATGGTGCATTAGCCTACTGCACCGCTTGATTAGCAACGCTCTCTCAGAGTGGTGTATTGACTCCACTGTGCACTTATCATTTATCATACTTATGTTCATTTTATTCTTATCCCAATAATGACAGCTTTCATGTAAAATGAAAGGAGAAAAATAAGATTAATACCTACTTAGTACACCTTTAACACCACATACAAATGCACTAGCTTCAGAATCAAACACATCTTCCCTGAATTTGGATTTTATCATCAACATTATCATTATCGCTCTCACTCAAAACTCATCTGAAGATCACATTTCTTTAGGAGTGGTCAAGAAATAAAAGCGATGGTGGAGTCAGAACAGTGGGAGAGGGGTGGTATGAATTTGCATGTTTAGTGGGGAGTAGAGCAATAGGTTGGGAAATCGGCCCAGCCATCTGGCCAAGACAATGCTCATTTTCCAGTGGAGTCATTGGGGAATATATTGGAGATATGTCTTCAGCTTTGTGGTAATTTTGAAAGTAAGCTTTGGTGTTTATATCCAAGAGCCTTCCTTCTCAAATTTGAACAAAACCCAAAGAAGAATGAAATTTTTCTAAATGCAGTTTTATTGATTTAAAATTAACAAAACAGATGATAGAAAATTTAAGATTAGAAATTTACTGGGGTAACAAATATGAGCAAAATATATTATACACTGAAACCCACTCCCCCAAAAAAGTGAAACTAGGTGTTAGGCACAGCAAAAGAGGAGATGGTGGTGTGTGAAAATAATCAAAGTATGTTATGTATATGTATATGTATGAATCTGCCAAAGTGAAGCCCATTCATCTATATAATCAATAAAAAGAATGAAAAAAAGAACATTTAAAAAGAGAAATTAGCCTTGAAATCATTTTCTAGAAAAGACTACAAAGACATTCTTGCCTATCTTGTCATTTTGGCAATATTGTACCTTCTTGTTGCTTTTGAAATGGTTAAATTAAAAACTAATGCAAAGCATGTGGGGAGAGTGAGTGGATGTTCAGTAGCGTGGCTCAAGAAAAACATGGTGTTTGTATCTACAGTCAACAAGTTTCCTGGCCACCTGGAACTCACTCAAGATGCGCTCTTTTCCATCAAAGGTGCAGAAGAAATTTTTCACCCTCCCCCAGGGTGGTACCAAAGAGCCAGGGTAGACACAAAGGCTGCTCAGCAAGGGAAATTGCCATGAGCTAAATCCCCGGCCCGGGAAATAAGATGACAATGATTGCTACTGAGAATTGAATTGAGGTCATTCTGTTCTTGGTGATTAGACTTATTTGAAAGTACAGAACAAAGAAATGGTCTATTAAAACATAACACAATCAAGAATGTAGTGGGAGGATAAGGAATGTCAACACCAACAGAAGATGGAGGAAACAACCAGAAATAAGTCAAAGGGTTCTCCCTAGTTTCTTACAAAAGAATACTAAAATAATAAGCATTAGAAGCTTAGTGCATCACTTTTACCATTGTATATTGTTATGGCTATGCTTAATTTAATGTGTAGTTTAACAGGCAAATTTCATTCTAGAAGGCATGGTCAGATATTCTAACCCTTTCTCTGGATGTTCCCAGTGCTGTTCATCTAGAGCTATGTTTCTCAAACTCAGCAGTATTAACATTTTGGCGCAGACAGCTTTTTGTTGTGGGAGGAGAGTCCTGTGCTTTGTGGGATATTTAGCTGCACCCCTCGCCTCTATCTCCTATATGCCAGTACCAACCCAAAAGTGTTGACAGTGCCAAACGTCCTGAAAACAGGAGGTGTGAAGATGAAACTTGCTCCCACTGAGAACGGTTGAGTTGGGTGGTTGAATCCTCTCTTACACTAACATCAAAATTGTGGCCAACAGATCTAAAAATTGTCCAGTAGCATTACGGATGAAATTTAGATTTGTTTCTGAGAGCTAGGGGACATAGAAAACCCATGAGTTGACCATAGTTGAACTTCACTCCAAGTTCTTTACACCTCCATGGAAACACTAATTTATCTATGCAAGAAATTGGCTCAAGTTTTCCCAAAGCTTTTAGTTTGAAACTAAAGGTTCCTGCTCTTATTTTAGGAAAGAATAAGAGCTTTTTTTCTTTCTTTCTTTCTCTTTCAGTCTTTTCTTTTTTGCTTGTTTGCTTGTTTTTTTAATTAGTTAATTATTTCTCTTCGTGCAGCTAGTTAAATACATAACCAATTAAAATAAATTATTTTCAACTGCTGACTTAAAGCACATTTTTAAAATTCATTCACTGAGATTTCAATTTGAATATTTTCAGTTATCCATGGCCATGTGTGATCTCATGATACCTACAGAAAGATAAAAAAACTAATAATGAAAAAAGTGTCTTCAAGGACACCAGCCATTTCAGGAAAAGAATTTATTAAATTAGCAGCAGAAATATCATTGCTCTGGAGGCTGGAAACGTGATACCACACATTTCTCTAGAGACAAGTCTCTAGCACTTCCCATTCTTCAGATCAAAACTGAAAATACTTTGCTGAACTTTTCCAAATGCTTTAGTGTTAACAGCCATTCACTAAAAGGACATTTACCAAAAACCAAAAGTTAAGGACCTACTCAACCAAATAACCAGAAGTGTGAGTGCTTACCCAAATTATGTAAATTATGTAAAAAGAAGATTTATTCACAACAGGTAGTCACATCAACAGTGGTGCTTGTAATTTAGCAAGTCTGCTAATTAACAAAGATTCATTTTGACCTTCAATCTTCTTTCTGGTTTTGAAAGAGATAAGAAGACAAAAAAGCTGTTTTATATTTTATGGTCCAGGTGAGAAGTTGTCTGAATGTGTACACAAATTTTATGCACCTATAATTCCTTGAGGGATTGTTGTGGTAGTCTTATAGAAGAATGAGCATAATTTATGTAATCACAAAGGAAAGTCACTTATATTCCCTTAGGGAGAGTAGGGAGGTGACTAACAGAGGAGAAAGTGAAGACATGTAACGGGCTCCAGAGACACCAAGAAGTGATGTGACCGGAACACTGGAGAGAGGAGCCGAGTGGGATGGTGTGCACATTCCTGAGTATGTGCAGGTGAGAGTGCACCTGTGTGTGTATGAGCTCCAGGTGTTTTGTTCATTTCATGTACCTGTAACTTCAAAGACAGATCAAGAGATGAATTTGTTGCTGTAATATTCTTCCAATGACATTGGTGAGTCATCAAGGAAGATAAAAATTTGTAGGCCTATATTCAACCAACCTGTTAACAGAGGATTATTCTGCTACTATCAATCATGACTTTAGTACACAATTAGATAGTATTAGATTGTCTTCTGGACCTGCAAGCTGAACTTTTGTAGTAACTATATTTTTATCCAGACTTTGAAGTACCAGTCAAAATTGAAGGATTTGGCTATTTTTGCCTGAACTTTCCCACACTTTCCTCATACTTAAAATTGAAGGCATTAAAAAAAATAACAAGTGTCTCATAAAGATTATTTCATATAGATTTCATAACTAATCAAGTATAATTTGGAAAAATAACTTTAACAGAATTTGCTAGTTTATACACTGATAAAATTAATCATATAAACAGGTGGGGGTAATTCCATACTAATATCCTATACTGTAAGATTACCAGCTGAGAAAATAATTATTTCCCTAAAAAATGGTTGCATTTTTCTGTTTTTCTCCATTGTCTTCGGTGTCGGCCACAGCCAGAGGCAAGGGTTAGACAAGATAGACTAATGGTCTGATCTAGAATGGCAAATTCTATGTTTCCTTAATACAGATTCCTGGAATGACAGCAGTTATGTATTTTTAAGTCCGCTCTTCCATTATGCCGATAAATGGTTATTTAAATACAGTCAGGTTCAAATTACACTAGTGGAAAATGCAGCAGGGAAAAGTATCAAAGACAAAGAACTTTTAAATAAATTCATCTCTCCTCCTGCCATATGAGGTAATTTCTATGCCAGATGGCAGATGTTTATACTGGTACTTAAAAGATGTAAAAATTAAATCTATCTCAAAAACTTAATTGTTTTTAGTTTAAAAATGCTCTCAAGTAAAGGGAAATTGATAGACATTTTCTTTAAAATGATCTTAAGAAACTGAAGATCTTATTACACAATTTTAATTTGGAAAAACAATTAGCACTTAGGCTAGGTACTCTTTTCTTTCAATTCATCATTGATTTTTGATATTCATTTTCAGGCAATTTACAAAAATACGTCAGACACCATTTTTGCTAGAAGCAAATGTCACAAATTTTCAGAGGACTATATTTTAATATGTAATGATTCAATTAGCTCTTCACAATTGAGCAATAGATAGGGTACTTAGAAATTCTCAGTTATTATCCACGCCAGTCTAAGTCAGAAAAGTTACCCATCCAAGGTCATTTTATTATGATGAAGATCAGCTAATACAAATAACAGAAAAACCTTCTCCCAAAAAACCATCGCTGCACAGGCAAACCCTGTTTATTCGGACCAAATTCAACAACTTTCCCATGAGAAGGCTCTTCTTCCTGCAAAATACTTTCTGTGGTGAAGAAAAACTTTATTATTATGACACCCAAATTCATTGTTCAAAAAGAAAAAGCAAAGTTGATCTAATTGTTACATGGAGATTATTTTCTTGTCTGTAAATATATTAACCCTGATCAGAAATAAATCTTGCTTTCTTGATCTAAAATGCAGGCTAAAGTTTTATCAGATATTTCCATAACTCTCAGCTGAAAACAACTATGAGCCTAAATAACTAGCAATCACTTGACTATCTGTATTTAGAAAAGTCCTCCAAACATTTACTTTTGTAGTATAACAGTGTAACAAAAAAATGACCAGTTTGAGGGAAATCACATTTAGTAAATTAGTAAATTAGAGTAAAACTTATTCCAATTATTAGTTATGAGAGCTAGAATATATGTAATATTCTTGAACTATATTCTGAAAAATCAATTCAGCAAACCTCAGTTGAGTGCTTAGGACAAGTCCACTCTGTTTAGAAATATAATATCTATGTAAACAAAAATACAGATCCACTTCTTACCTCAATTTTTTTCTGCAAAGACATAGAGATAGTTAGAAAAAATCATTAAGATGCACCAGCTTTACTTTTAGCTCTTTATCAAACCTAAAAAAATTCCTATGGACTTGATCGGAGGCAATTGTAAATTATATAGCCACAAAGGGCAATTTGCTCTGCTAATCTGCCCAGCTCACTCCCTACTGGTATGCAGCAGCCTCTTTCACAGTAAAGACTTCAGCCTCACTGAGTTCTGCCCATAGTTTTTTCAAGAGCACGCGTCTTTAAGAGAGTTCTACTCATCATAAATGATCTCAGAAGTCAGACCTAGCCACTTCTCAGATTCTCACAGTTCCTCCAGAGGACAATGAACGAGTCAATGAAACTCTAGAATAGCATCTATAGCAAAAAGCATTACACATTTTAAGAAAGTGTTAGGCTGGCTAAGCTATGGTAACGAAGTTACCCCAAAATACAATAGCTCAAAGAAAATATGGCTGTCAAAATCGAAAGTGTACTTCTCTCATATTTAACAGTGCAGAAATAGGTGGGTGGTTTAGAACACAACTTTGTTCTGCCTAGGTTCTCTGTACCTGTTTTTCTGCCATCCCCCCAGGAGTTTCTCATCTACCGTGAATGAAGTTGGATCACCACCACCCTGCAAAGGTGAGAGAGGAAAACAGTGTCACTGTTAAGGAAATTATTTAGATACTGAACATATTATCTAGCTGCTAGCAAGGCTGAAAATTACAACTCCTAGCCAGAAGTTGTGGATCCCATTAAAGGTAGAGGATGTGGTGGAGATTCTATTCCTACAGGAAAGAAGGACTGAATAGACACTGGGGCCATTTAGTAGTCTTCATTAAGCATTTAATAAATGCTTTATTAATAATGCTTTTGATTAATCTATCTTCCAACAAGTATTTCCTGAGTGCCTATTTTGCTTGTAGTACTCTATTTGGCCCCACAATAGAGTTCATTCTAATATATATAGATATAATTTTTTAACCCAAAAAGAGCATTTGACATTTTTTAGGGAAATGAGCTATGTACAACTGAAGACTACCGTTGTAATATTAACTCTAATGTTGAAAATAATATAATATAATGTAAGTACAGCATGAGTACTATGGAATTTCTGTGATATTAGTACAGTATTTAGTGTCATTTCCTGATAAGTAAATTAGAGGAAAAATAACAGCAGCAATTCTTCTTTGTCTCGTTCTTCTTTTACACTCTTTACCTAATAATAAAAGTGCCTCACACAAATGAAGTAATTTCTTCCTTCGTACCATAAAAAAAATCATAATTTCTCTTTTAAAATATATATTTATATGTATGCACACATACATATACTTGTGTGTCTGTATACAGGTATGTTTATATATAATTGACAAAAAGCACGCTTATTGTAATCATTTTGGCATAAATATGCCTACACTCACCTTTTAGTTTAACAGCATCCGTTCTTATTGTTAGAGAGGTTGAATTAATCAACTTCTTTCTCTAATGATGGAAGCAGATGGAAGTAGAATGAGCTTCTGAATCTTCCTCAAGGGCATTGTAGAGGATGCTGCACCCTTAACTGAAAATTGCTCAATTTTGCAGTAGAGTTGGCCAATGTAGACATAGTCTTATATTTTCGCTAATTTTGAATTAATACTCTAGGAGCCGGCAGCTGACAATGAGCCTGAACAGTTGGTTTCACACCTGAGGCCTCTTTTAAAAGACCATTCTCATCACAGTCAAACAACAGGAGGATCTATTAGAGAAGGAAATGAGTCCATTTGCTCTAAGACTACTTAAGTAGGAGTTTCTCATGAGCTAATTAAGATTCTGTTCTATTTCAGAAGCCAATGTCGGAAGCAGACATTCTGTTTGAGGATTATTAGTAAATGAAAGCAGAAGGTTCCAGAGCACTTGAAATGCTCCTTTTGACTTGGTGGGTGCTCAGTAAAAGTGCTTCTGGAAAATAATTAGATAAAGAATAATATTTTAAGTATAATATCAAATGTCTTAGGTGAATGCTCTTATTACGTAAAATTATTAATGACACCTAAAAACTTTTATAAATGAAATAAGGAACACTTTTGACTATTAAAAACAAACTTGAGGGCTGGGGGTTTAGCTCAGTGGCACCGTGCCTGCCTTGAAAGTGCAAGGTCCTGAATTCGAGCTCCGGTGCCCCCCCAAAAACAGCAAAAACAAAAAACTTGATCCTCCGTCTACTAAATCTACAAGCTCTTACAATTCCCAGATGTCTGGGGCAGGGGAGACTACATGTTGGTTTTATTTTATTCAGAATATATTTATACATGTACATAACACATCTTAATTCTTTATTCATTTCTTTCCCCTCTTTTCCCTCCCCCTCCCTTCATCTCTTTGTCCCTTTCCCTTTTGCAAAATATCTATCTCTCTATTTCCTATTATCTATCTTTACTTTGCTCTTTATTTATATTTTGGATTTCTCATATAAAAGAAACAATGTGATATTCAAGTGTTATGTATGATTTATTTTACTTAATTTTATGGCCTGAAGGTGCATTCATTTTCTACAAATGACTAAAGTTTATCCTTCCTTATGGCAGAGTAGTACTCCATTGTGTGTAAATACTACATTTTCTTTATCCATTCAGCCATTGATGGACTTGTAGGCAGCTTTCAAGATTTAACTATTATGAGTTGTGCTGCTATATACATGAGTATGCATGTATCACTATTATTATGGAATTCAGTATGGAGATTCCTCAAAAAATTAAAAATAGAAATTCCATTCGACCCAGCTATTCCCTTTTTAGATATCTTCCCAAAAGAAGCATAATTCTATTTGGAAGGGAAATTTACTTAAATATACTTGTTGTACTTACACACTGGATATGCTTGTTCGGGCAACCGAATTCAAGATCAGTTAGTCTAAAGCAAAGAAAAATGCTAATATAGTGTGGAGAAAAATATTTTTGCCTTATAACTTTAATAACTACTCAAAAATTGTCTGAGTTGTACTGTGCATTATTTATAAACAAATTGCTACACATGGAAGTCATGTTCCAGGTAGTACTACCTTGTCTTTCACAGAATGCCTCTAGCACACAGCCTTGAAGTTGAGCTTATTTACCTCGGAGTGGAAATTACATCACAGCAGGCTAAGGATTGCTAAAAGCCCATGGATGCAAATTTTGTATCATATGACAGTTCAGACATTTTTAAACAACAAAAAAATCCATCTCTGTTTTGTTTCTTGTCTTCTTATTTCAATGGCATAAATGGATATTTCCCAAAGCCATCTGCCACCCACTATGAAATCTAAGGGTGAGACTATTTTTTACAAATTGAACTGGGACTCCCAGGGTAAAAAATGACGATAGTATCAAATTTACCAAATTGTGTAAAATGTGAAATATTTGGGAAAAACAGGAGGAAATGGCAAAATGTTCAAAGGTTAAAATTTCACGGTGAGCTTGATGTTAGTGTTTGATGCAAAAGACATGTGTTAAGACAGAAAAATCAACAGTGAATTATTTAACTCTTGCTTGCTCTTCATTACTAGTTTCCAACCAGAAAACGAATGTATCTAATTAGGATCCTTGTAGATTTTTGTTGCCTCTCCTTTCATCTTATGTGATATAAACAATATCCTTGGCATTAGCTATTGCAAACCATCCCTTATATTTGAAGTGGTTCATATTTAATGATCTCAAAACAGCAGTCCTTTCTTCCTCAGTATTGTGTCAAAACTTTTCCCAAATTAAAGTTCATGAATCTAAGACAAGTTGTCAACATTAGCTGTATTAGTGTTTTTGTCAGGGCCAAATTTCAACAGTTGTTACCAAGCCACCCCCATTTTGCCTTCTGCACAGTATGCCAGTCAAGGAAATTATGAGTTTTAGAAGAAGTGTTTATTCAGGAAGTGGGCTCCCATGTGGAGACTGGTGAGCATGTCTTGAATGCACTTCCCTGAGGATAGAGTTTCGGGGCATTCATAGGATAAACAAACAGGTTGTCTGAGGAGTGGGGAGAGGTAAATTGGAGGTAAGCAAAAGTGAAGTACTTGGTGGTCTGTACGTGTCTGATCAAACGTCATTATGCTTCATGTGACACATGTTCAGAGACTGGTGGTGTTAGCATGCTTGGAAGGTTGAGGCTTAGCCTTCAGATGTCAAAAGGTCACCCATGGGACACTTACACAGGCCCAGGTGAAGGATCAGTGATTCCAACCAGTGTGAGCTACCTCCAAGTTCCTGGAGAACAACTTAGGCAGTTGTCACTAAGATGAACCGTATGTCAGAGGTGTCATCTATGGCAGAGTTAATGAGAGAGTTAATTGTTTATCTACATGACTTCTAAAACTGGTGATCAACGCAAGTAACTAAAAAAAGTGAAGCTAGAAGGTCTTCCTTTGGTTTCCTAAATGACTTCCTATGCGTATAAAAGTATTCAGAGCTCAGCTCATTCAGTAGAATCTTTCACTTTTCAATAGGTGTATGTTTGGCCTAGCTAGATGCTTAATCCGAGGATCCTGAAACAGAGATCGTAATTCACAGATCCTGAACAAGTCGATTTCTTCTCTTTTATATTTTTCACCTTCCTCTCAAGTTCAGTATGGTTACGGGACTATTTGTCAATGAATGTGAGCAGAAATTAGAAATATTGTGCCTTTTTAAAAAATGTAATTGCTGCAATAATCAGTTTATTATGAATAAACAAATTGACTCAAATAATTAATAACAAATTATTATTATTAAATATGTAAGTTAGTCTTTAACTATTTCCATCAAATAAATGTTCATTTTTACATTGATTGGCCTACACACTTAAAAATATAAGAAAAATAGAAGCCAAAGCAGCCAAACAACAAAGATGGGAGGGTTAAGGAGATAAAAGACAGTTGGAAAGAAAAGCCATGTGACTTTATGCACTAATAACCTCAATCGTTTAAATGTTAGGTGTTAAACTTAAGTCTTAGAAAACAGAATGTTTGTAGAGTTGAACATTATTGATCATATTTTCTCATAAAGTCTAGGTCCTTCAGAACAAAAAAGAATACAGAGTTTCATGTTCTTTACCTTACTTTTGTAGTTGTTTTGAGTGCAAAAAGATTCACTTAAAAACAATCTCCTGCAGGTCAACAGAGTTTTTCTTTCTTGTCCAAGCACACATTATACCACCACACTTGCTTTTGCCATTATCTAAATTTTAGTCTCACAGCTAGGTTGTATCTCAAGAACTGGCTGCTCACACACATCTGTCTGCCAAGAGGCAATGTCGGTACAGGAACATGATAGTCTACCCTACATATCTGTGGATTCAACCAACCTCAGATAGGAAACATCAGAAAAGGAATTTTGCCTGTACTGAACATGTACAGGCCTTAATTTTTTTCTCATTATTACCTAGCAATACAATATAACACAATCACTTACATTTTAGTAGCTATTGTAAGTAACCTAGACATGCCTTAATTTGCATAGGTTATATGCAAATATTACACCATTCTATATAAGGGACTTGGCATCTGTAGATTTTGGAATTTGGGGGGTTCTGGATCCAATGCCCTGACAATACCAATGGATAACTCTGTTTCTAGTTTGCTGTTCCATGGCTGTACAAGGCAGAGTTCAAGCTATATCAGGGAAGCATGCAAAGTTAAATGGAAATCAAGAGGAATTTCTCTTTCAGAGTTCCCTTATCTTTATGCATGAATATTATCCAATAATTTCCTTACTAGTGTCACCCACATTTAGAAAGACTATGAAGCCCAAGGGTATGGGGGATCCACGAAATAGAAAGATCTCAGTTGTTGGGGCCACCACATAAAACCTTGTACCACTCAGGAACATTGAACTGTCTCTTGAATGGAACACACACAACTATTATGTTAAGGTGCTGAAATGTTGAGGTTGTTTGATACAATAAAAAAAGTGAATGTATAGAAATCTAGGGAATACCTCATGGTGCATGAAAGGCTCCTTTATCTTATTCTAAGACGTAATTTGAACAATTAAAGTTTGTTGGTTGGGTGTTAACACTTGCCTTTTGGCAAAATACATACAACTCTTGGCTAATTATTATTATAAGCTCTTAGATTTGAATTTTCAATCATATCATCATCTGAAACCAAATACCTGAGTGAGGATAAAAGAAATAGCTTTTTCACCCAAAATACTATCCATTTTTTTTCAAAGGAAGAAAAATGACAGAAAATTTTCCTTTAGTTGATACTGGCCAAACAAAAAAGAAGATTCTTGGAAGCTGTTCCCATCAGTGGCATTATGTAATACTAAAATGGGGAAAATGAAATGAGAAAAATGATAATTTGTCTTCTTAATACACTGTTTCATAATAACTATTGTTGAGTGTTTATCGTGTGCCGGGTAGTCTGAGTACTTTTATATAGATTATTTTACATAATTTTCATAACTTATGAAGTTAGTAGTGTTTTTATACCCACTTCACAGATGACTAAATTGCTCAGATTCACATAACAAGTAAATAATAAAATTGCACTCAAACCCAAGCTGATGGGTTCCAAACATGGTTCAAAGTAACCATGCTCTGTGGATCACCTAAAATCAGAACACTACAGCCGAGGAATTTTATGAATTATGACTTCCTATTGTCAGGGAAAAGACATTTTGCAATTCAAGAAGTATATGTAAAAATTAAATATAATCTTTCTTTTCAATTTGTGTTATAGCGGTTATTCAGAATGAGATGGGAGTGGAGTTGAGGCGTACTAAGACAACAAGACAGTCTCATTGTTGAAAGTATTGTGCCTCAAAGAATCAACAACTGGGATCTCATCTTATTAAAAAGCTTCTGCACTGCTAGAGAAACTACCAATGGAACTAAGAGACAACCTACAATGTGGGAAAAATTTTTTATCAGCTGTACTGCCAATAAAGGACTACTATCTAGAATGTATAAAGAACTTAAAAAGAATCAGACCCCCCAAATGTAAAGACCCAATTCAAAAGTGGGCATCTGAAA